TGTGTGTGTCAGGCTGGCTTTGCTCTGCTTTTTATTGTCATGCTACAGCAGGCCACAGTCAAATCAAAGCATTTATGGTTTAAATGGGTGTCCATTAATCGGAATGTTCAAATTTTTTCAAATGTCAATTGTTTTTCAAGAAATGTGTCAACATTTACCAACATTACACAATTGTATTATTATTAATATTATTATTATTATTATTATTATTATTATTATTATTATTATTATTATTAGTGCACCGGGGCTTCACTTTTTTTAGCTCAAGCATTGTCAATTTAAGCCAAAAAAAGGAAAAACTTGGCAGCTAGCTCTTTACAACACTCACATGGTCGCCCACTGAAGCTAAGTAGGGCTGCATCTGGTCAGTACCTGGAGACCACATGGGAAAGCTAGGTTGCTGCCGGAAGTAATGTTAATGAGACCACAGCGGGCACTCAATCTGTGGTTTGTGTGGGTCCTAACACCCCAGTATAGTGAATGGGACACTATACTGCTCAGTAAGTGCCGTCTTTCAAATAAGACGTTAAACCTAGGTCCTGACTCTTTGTGGTTTTAACAAATCCTAGGATGTCCTTTGAAAAAGAGTATGAGCTTAGCCAGTGGCGTAGCGGACGGGCCCGCAGGGAAAATCCACCGGCAACCGCAATAATCAAACTCTTGGGAACAACTGTGGTCGGAACCAAAGTTTACAGGTCTGTGTTCTCTGAACACCTCTCAAGCGGTGGACTACTTCATTCTGATTGCTTGCCGCCAATGTTGCTAACTTAGCGACTTTGTCACTAGATTTAGCGACTTTTCAGACCCCCCTAGCGACAAATCTAGCGACTTTTTTGTGTGTTATTGGAGATTTTTTTAGACTGTCATTTGTCCATACTGTACCATCCCTACTCTTCTCAACAAGCTGCGTGTAATGCCGCCGGCCCCTCCCCCAGTCAGTCCTCGTACAGCAGCCTCTCCCATCTGCAGCCCGAGAGCAGATCACCCCTCTGCGTACCGACGACAAATGATTTAGCACAGGCAGTGTGAATGTATTTCCCTTGTACAGTCAAACCGATCTACTTCTCCTTTATTTTAACAAGTTAATTGGACCGTTTATTCTTTTCTTGTTCACAATCACAGATATTTTAGTGACAGTTTCTGAACTTGTCTGAGTTTATTACATATGAGAGATTACTGCACATTCACACATCTATAATGACATACTTTATTCAAACAGCAATAAATTTCGTTAAATAAACATACTTATATAAAGTGTAGTGCAATTATAAATACCCCTTTATTGACCATAGGCTGTTAAACAAACAGAAGCGGCAGAATGTGATGACGTCAGTGATATGCAAATTGACGTATGACGTATTTCCCCTCTTCCCACCCTTCATCAGGGGGCCCCGTCAGCGATCCCTGCAGGGGGGCCTCCCCATTTTGCGCTATGCCACTGGGCTTAACCCCGGCATCCTGGCCAAATTTGCCCACTAGTCTGTCCATCATGGTCTCTTAACCATCCCCATATCATGATTGGCTTTATCACTCTGTCTCCTCTCCACCAATCACCTGGTGTGTGGTGTGCGGTCAGACGCAATATGGCTGCCATCATGTCATCCACGTGGATGCTGCACACTGGTGGTGGATAAGGAGATTCCACCCAAAAATGTGTAAAGCACTTTGAGTGTCCAGAAAAGGGCTATATAAATGTAAGGAATTATTAAGGAATTAAAATATTTGGGTTAAATTCCAAGCAATAAATTAATGAATTAATCAGCCAGTAATACATTTAAAAAATCAATCAATTAATTAATCAATACATTAATTTATTTAATAATGGGGTGTTAATTTTCTATTTTAGTAATTATAATTCTATACTATTTATAAAAATAATAATTAAATAGTAATTTAAAAGTTTGTTAATAATTGTCTAATTTAATATATATTTATTATTATATAACATTAATATTAGTGTAATAAAACATTTAATTATAATAATATTTTATTTTTCTGCAATAATCCTTGTAATAATAAAGTATAATTTTTATAATAATATTTTAATAATAACATAATCACCACATCTAGAGTAAGAACAATGCAATGGTTATATAAAATATTAAATGTGGTAATTATATACTCAATAATAATAATAATAATAATAATAATAATAATAATAATAATAATAATAATAATAATAATAATAATAATAATGTTTTATTAACATAAAATATTAAATGTGGTAATTACATACTCAATAATAATAATAATAATAATAATAATAGTAATAGTAATAATAATAATAATAATAATAATAATAATAATAATAATAATAATAATAATGTTTTATTAACATTAATTATTATTATTATTAATACCTATTAATTATAAAATAAGTAAACATTACAAATGATGCAGTATATAAGTTGTATTTTTATGGTTTTTAATTTTGGCAATTATTCATATTGACAATTATTATTAATATTATTATTATTACTATTATTATGAATATTATGATTATTATTATTATTATCAGTAGTAATAGTAGTAGTAGTATTAAAATTACATATACATTTTAACTATGTATTTTTTTCAATTGTGTTATGTCTATTTTTTAAATAGGTTATAAAATTGTCTATCCTGTTTTGATTGATTGATTGATTGATTGATTGATTGATTGATTGATTGATTGATTGATTGATTGATTGATTGATTGATTGATTGATTTATTGATTGATTCATTCATTCATTCATTCATTCATTCATATGAGCTTCACAAAGCCACAATACAGTAACCACACACTTAGTCTGCTCATTTAAATCTGTCAAATCGGAGACGATCCAGTATCTACCAGCCTAAAACCAAGAATCCTTCAGCAAAACTGATTTACTTTTTTAAACAGAGTGATTTGAGTTTAAAGACTCAGACTTTGTTATGTAAGATTTAATAATTAAATCATTAAAGTTGTCTTCTTTAAACTGTATTTTCACTGCCTTATCATCATTGCAAGCTTTCAAAAGTCACAGCTGTGAGTTCTGCTTCTCATAACAAAAAGAGGACCTAAAAGTCCATCTCCAGCCCTCGAGATGAGGCTACTGCTGAATTAGAGAACACAGACAGGAAGTCCTCTTCAGTCTATAAACGAGCACAGGGCGGACGAAACAGGAAGTCGGGCAGGTCGCTGCGTTCTAATATAGATTCACCCATTTGTGGTGGGCCAATCTTTGCGGCAGGGTGCCAATGTTAATAAAACTTTGTCATCCCTGCTGGCTAAAAGGATTTTAGCTGCAGCAACTTTATGGTCCTTGTTGATCTGAGAAGTTATGCCACTTGTGAGACAGTCATACCAAAACTGACTGGTTTTGGTACCACGCGAGTCTGAGGTTTCGCACCTGTTCGTTCACCAAAACGTTTGCACACGACTTCAAACTTATGCCACAGGATGTGCAAAACATCTGCCAGACGTCCTGTAACATTAGCAAGCATTCATTTGAAGAGTTTGTATCTCAAGAAAGAAAAACTGAAAAAGAAATATTAAGAGTATTTATAACTTATTTAAACAGATTGCTAGCACATTCTTGCATCTTTAGGGAGATGGCTAACACATTTAGCATATTGCTAGCATGTTTAAATACTACTAGCATGAATGAAGATGTTATTACAATGTCTACCATGGGAACCATATTTATTAGCATATATTTATTATCTCAGTTATTAGCTTTTCACCAGTCCCAATTAGCATGTTGTTTATATACTGTTTACTTGTTGCTAGAATGATTAGCATATTATTAGCATATTTTTAACATGTTAATCAATATAAAAACATACAGTATGGCTAATATATTTTAGTATGGCGTTAACATAAATTTACATGTTAGCATGCTGCTGCATATTAGGCTTGATCCTAGCTTAATTATTATGTTGTTACAATGCTATTTTTAACAAATACTTGTAATTTATCATGCCTTAATATATTTCATTGTACATTTAACATGTTTAGCGTGCTCTGTCATGTTTTTACACTATAATAGCCTTAGTTAGCAGATTTACTAACATGTTTTAGCATAATTAGCTAATAATTATCATATATATGCATGTTGCTGATATGTATTTCGCATGTTTAACATGTTTTAACATGTTTATTGCATGCTAACATGTTTTATTGCATGAATGACCAAGTTTAGAATGATTAGCAGTTTCCTATCATGTTTCTAACATGTTAATCAAAATAAAAATATACAGTATGGCTAATATATTTTAGTGTGTCGTTAACATGAATTTACATGTTAGCATTCTGCTGCATATTAGGCTTGTTACTAGCTTAATTATGTTTTTACAATGCTATTTGTTACAAATACTTGTACATTATCATGAATTAATATATTTCCTAGTACGTTTAACATGTTAGGTGTGCTCTGTCATCTGTTTTTTACACTACAATAGCATTAGTTGGCAGATTTACTAACATGTTTTAGCATTGTTAGCTAATAATTATCCAAAATATGCATGTTGCTAGCATGTATTTAGCATGTTTAACACGTTTTAACATGTTTATTGCGTGCTAACATGTTTAACGTGTTTTATTACATGAATGACCAAGTTTCGAATGTGTTTTTTGTTTTGGCACATTGCAAAAATGTTTCATCTTGATTTAGCACATTTGTGACATGTTTAGCAGTGTTGATAACCTGATTTACCATTTTGTAGGTCTTAGTTTAGTTGGATTTTGCAACAAAGAGACAGATAGACAGACACATAAAGTTTTTAAAAAATTTATATCCTCTATTAATATCTATGGAATAGTGTGTATAGCTTTGATTATCTGCTTTATGAAAACCACAAATGAGCAGTTAGAAGACATACTGCAGACCAAATGAAAACTTCCTGAAGTTCTGACCTGAGTTAATTTGGTGGTCATGACTTGAAACTAAGAGGAGATTTTTAAACCATCACAAACTTTGACTTTTATTTTTTACAGTAATCTTAAATTAATCTTTTCTAGTCATGAAACACTCACGTGCTCTTTAGTCTCAGAGATCCAGGTCTCCAGAAGAAGAGCAAGGCGGCTCTTGTGGAAGCGGCCGGTGGTTTTCACCGCAATGAAGATGTCACTGAGCTCTAAAGGTGGTGTAGACCTCACCTCCGTCCATTTCTGACCTTCTGCTTTTTCTTTCTCATGAGCACCATCTCTGTGTTGGTTTTCAGCCGTGGTTTCTGATATAAAAGTTGTCCGTTGGTGCCCATCGTGCGCGTTTTGGGGCTTTTGGTCACTCCTGGTGCGCAGCTGCAGATCCAGCAAAACCAAAATAAAAAGCGTAAAAGCGAAAGCAGGCAGTACATGAAACAGCCTCCTTAAAATCATCGTATTAAATCCTCAATTCGCTTTTGGCCACATATTACATCAGTTCAAGTGTAACCGGAGACACTTGGGCGCGTTCAGTGCATGGCACGCAGGGATGGTAGTAATATCAATAATGTAATACAACAAACACAAACCGGGGCGGGTTTGATTGTGTTGTTTAAACTCATTATTATTCCGTTAAAGTTTTCATCTGGTTCAATGAGCTCGAATCCCGCATGCTGCCCCGTGCACTTGCTCTGTCAAAGCGGAGGATGGAACTGTCACTCATTCACTTACGCCCCGCCCACTTTCCGCGCTGCCGCTCTGATGGTGTATGATAAGATTAAGTGTGCACGAATAAAGATTTCCTGTTGAAAACATCATTTTGCAAATCATTTTCTCTCTCCTGAGTGGTAGGAAATGAAAATAAAATGTATTTCCTATTGCATCCGAATTCATACATTCTGAGTGATGTACTATGCTTAACAAATCTCATACTATTATACCACATTGTGATGACTTACAGTAGCCTATAGTAAATTCGATTTGGAGCATTATAAAGTATTAATCATTTTGTATATATTCTAGAAAATAAATATTTTTTCAGATGAATAAACAATCAAGCAACTATTAAATTTAATGAATAATTGCTCGATTTTTTTATTTATCTGAAAAATATTTATTTATTAAATACACTCTCAAGGGGAGATTGGGGGCGAAAAAAACATTTTTCATAAAAAAAAAAAAAAACTCATTTTGAAAGATAATGTTTTTAGCTGAAATCTATTTTTGCTGTATTAACTAACTAACAACAGTGGTCTATCAAAATCAGGTGTTGTTTTGTATCAGTGTAAGACAACTCCAATATAGGCCCACCTTCACTTTAAACATAAGATGCACATTGTTACTTTTGACCCCGTATAGCAGGGACGGAAGTAACACGTGGCTGGGTCAAAAGTAACACAACAACTTGCTCGATTTACTGGCTTAATCCTGTTTATTTTAAAATATTTCTGACTATGATCTTGTTAATGTTAACTGCAAACATATTTTGTCTCTTATTTTTGCCCCAAAATGATAATAACAACAACATCATTTTCATTTTACATTTCACTTTCATCAAATGATTCAAAAGTAAACCAACAACGCAAAAAATGTTAACATTTTGTATAATTTTTGAATATTTTTTATATGGACTAATCTTATCAAAGATACAGGGGTAAGTCAAAGCACTGCAAACTGGGCTAATGTGGAGTTGAAAAATAAAGCAGCATATTAGCAGTGGGACATAAATAACAGTGTTTCTGTCGTTCCACAGAAACTCTTGCCATTTAAACCTGATTTACTTTTAACATGATGGAACTAAAACTTAAAGTATTTTCAGGAGAAAACAAGTTCATCTATAGATGTTCAATACGATCCCTTCCTGACACTAGAGTGACATCAACCCAAAAGTTGTGGTATTCTTTTTGAATCACCCTATATATATATATATATATATATATATATATATATATATATATATATATATATATATATAGGGTGATATATATATATATATATAGGGTGCAACTATTAAATTTAATGATATATATATATATATATATATATATATATATATATATATATATATATATATATTGTCTATAATAATAAATAAATTAGTAAATTAACATTTAACATAACATTTATTAATTACATTTTTAAAAACACAAATATTAAATAAATATTTCATATACAGTGCACAGCATGAATTAGTACACAGCCTTTTAATAAATTCATATTTTTTATCCATAATATAAACAATACCTTTTGATGCATTTTACAAAACAGTACACATTTTATTAATTAAATAAAGGTTTGGTCACCTAAGATAATTAGAAATATAAAGATAATACAATCAAACTCAAATAAGGCATTGCAAAAATATATAATTTTGGACCGTAATTTTAAGTTATTTTGTTAAATTAGCTCTAGTTTTAACTTTGGTAATGACCAAACTATTATAAACAAATATATCATTGTATAGCATCCAAAAGAAACTTTATTTAAAAAAAAGATTTTTGAGGAAATTGAGGAACGTACTTATTTAGGTAAAGATGCATTGTATATAAAAATAAAATAAACTAATATATAAAAAGTAAAGTATACAATAACATATGCAAGCAATGAAATTGATAAAACAAAAGAATATGCCATTCTATTGTAAAAATGTCATCATCTGCAGTGCTTTGAATAATCAACAAATTATGCTGACATATGAGTATGCATGTTTCTTGAGGCGATGTTTTCGGCAGACTCATCCTGAGGGGAGTTGTCAGCTGTACATGTCCTGTTTTCATTTCTGACGCTTCATTGTTTGACACTGCAGGCGTTCTGGCGTCAGTCCTGAACTACTTTAGCATCTCACTTTTAACTTGTGCCAGAAAACAGCGTTACCCGACCCGTTATCCTGAGCACCACTTGTCAAGTTTAAAATATCTGTAGTAGAACATTCATTGTGTTGTGAGCAAGACACTGCAGGCAAAAAATGTCTTTTATTTAAACCTGTGACTTTCAAGATTTCTGGCTTTTTGACTTTTCCTATAACTTTTTTCTGTCTAATGTAAAGAAAACATAAAAAATAAACTTTCAAGCATTTATTTTAAAGGCTTTTTTGTATCATAAATCTCCATTTTAGCAGCTTTACATCCACCAAATTTTGACATTTTTTTTACTCTTATCTATATTCTGAATGGCAATTATATATATATATATATATATATATATATATATATATATATATATATATATATATATATATATATATATATATATATTTTTTTTTTTTTTTTTTTTTTTTTTTTTCCCCTAAAGAATTTGCTTATAATTTGCCTGATTATCTAAAACATTTTCTTTTCTGGCTGGTTGGAGTATCTCCAAATATTTCCTTAGTCCCCTCTGTAAAACTTATAAAATAATAAAATATCAAAACAAGAACTTGCAGTCTAATTTAATCCAAAATTTAATTACAAACTGAGTTTTGCTTAAAGTTTTATTTAGATGTATTGTTGGTGATTGAATATTTGTTTAATCGATTGAGTAGCTTTACATAAACAAAGGAAAATTAAGACCTGTTTAAACTGATTTAAGACAATATTTCTGTGAATTTTAAGATCTAAAATTCAGTTTTTGAAATGACATTTTTAACCTCCTAGGGCTTAGTGGCCACATACAAGCACATTTTTGCTCTTATGCCTTATGTCTTATGTGGTATACTTTGTTACAGACATACAGTGTCATCCTGCAACTGTTTTGCAGCATATGAAATGTTCCAAACACTATTTTAACTGTCCAAAATGGGCAATTGGACATCGTTTGGACATCGTTTTTCTCTAAAAGTACATCATATCAACAGATGATACTTTGGTTTTATTTTAGGTAGGTTCCTATAAGCCCAAATAGCAAAAAGAACATAAAAAAAATGATTGTAAAAAAACAACTTGGGCCTTAAGACCCCCCAGAAACCTTGCTTTTGACTGTAAAAAAAAAAAAGAAGAGGAAGAAATCTGATTTTAAATCTATCACCTGTGTCAAAAAACACCTCAAAAATCAGTCCAATTGTTACTTTAGTTGTTTGTTTGTTTTTTGACGACAATATTAGATGTCAATTTGATGTCATTTTAACGTCAAGGTAGTTTATATGCATTATAGGGATACAAAATTGGAATTGAAGCTAAGAAATATTTCTTATATTATACTTTGTGTGTCATTATGTTGGCGGTCAAAAGAGCATCAATGCGTCAATGTTAAACAGACGTCAAGGTTTTTACATCAAACCAATTAGCATTTTCGCCATGTTTTTTTTACATCAATGTCAAGTTGATGTCGTTTAAACATCAAAATGATCACTGGATTATCATTCACTTATGAAGTTATAGCGATAACTTCTTCCCTCATTCACCTGCATTATCTTAATCTCTGTTCTGACTTATTCTTCTTCCTCAGCTCAAGAAACCGAGGACGACACGATCAACACAGGTTCAGAGTAACCTTCATCAGCACCTTTGTTTGTAATTTCTCAGAGTTCTCCTCTTTCATCCATTCATCGTTGGCCACCAGTCACCAGCTGCCTCTTTTTCTACACTCCCCCCACCTGAAAAATGGTCTGGTCCCTCAGGTAAATCAGAGATGCCCAGGCACACCCTCGCCAGGAAAGGCCCAGGATCGGTTTACGGCCTACCTGAAAAGATCCTTTTAAAACAGCAAGTACATTGCTCCCTACTTTGAACAATGGCAGACCTTTTTAGACTCTTTATGCTTTGAAAAGCCCTTTACGTGCCTCTTGACTCACCGTTTTGAATGCAAGGTTCATTGTAGATACTGTAGTTTGTGCAGACAACAGACAAAACAGACTGTATAAACGTCTCAGATCCTTCGAGAAAAAACAGAAGCACAAAAGACTTGGAGATGAAGTTTACAAACAAACAGCAGGTCTGTAAACAGTATTGTTATGAGAAAGGGGAAACAGAAATTGTAGGAGAGACTTAATGTTTATGCGAGGAGCCTTTGATATTATGGTTTACTGATGAACAGACAAATTAAATGAAATACAATACTTATTGCATCTGAAAACAGATTACAGATTGGAGAGAGAAATACCTTTTATGCAAGAAAGTGCAAACAACTGTAAATAATAATATAGTAATGATACAAATTATTATTATTATTATTATTATTATTACTCACTATTTACACTATAGTTAAACTACTTTTTTAAATAATTTTAAATTTGTATACAAGAAACATCAACAGTAAGATGTCAAAAAAGTTAATTAATACCTTAGTTTACTGTTAGTTTCATTCATAGAAAAATATATATTTTTTAAAATGCATTATTTTTAAAACATTTACACTTCTTTTAAATTCTCCTCTTAAATATTAACACAAATTTATTCAAAGAAAAACGTTCAAACTAAAAAAGTGACTGGGCATCTACTGCGTAAAACACAATCCAGCCTCATTCTTAAAACATAGCCCTATATACATTTCTAGAGAGCTCCAAAATACGTCCCAGAAGGTACATTATTTTGCGTTTTTTGTTTTCGCGAATCCGCCGGAGGCTGCTGTGTATGCTTTTTTAGATCTTAAATTTCTCTCGCGAGTGAAATTCATGCCTGCTCTTCTCTAGTGAATCCACCAGAGGCCGATATTAACTGACTGACTTACTGACTGACTGACCGACCCTCCTTCCCAAACCCCAACCAGCAGTGTTT